ACTGTGAGAACTTCATGTAGGTGGGGAACTGAGAGCTTCATGTAGGTGGGGACTGTGAGGCTTCATGTAGGTGGAGACTGTGAGCTTCATGTAGGTGGAGACTGTGAGCTTCATATATGTGGGGACTGTGAGCTTCATGTAGGTGGGGACTGTGAGCTTCATGTAGGTGGGGACTGTGAGCTTCATGTAGGTGGAGATTGTGAGCTTCATGTAGGTGGGGACTGTAGGCTTCATGTAGGTGGAGACTGTGAGCTTCATGTAGGTGGGGATTGTGAGCTTCATGTAGGTGGAGACTGTGAGCTTCATGTAGGTGGAGACTGTGAGCTTCATGTAAGTGGGGGACTGTGAGCTTCATGTAGGTGGGAGACTGAGCCTAGCTTCATCTAGGTAGGGATTGTAGGCTTCATGTAGGTTTGGGACTGTGAGCTTCATGTAGGTGGAGACTGTGAGCCTGGCATGTAAGTGGGGACTGTAGGCTTCATGTAGGTGGAGACTGTTAGCTTCCTATCTAGGGTAGGGGGATTGTTTAGGCTTCATGTAGGTGGAGACTGTGAGCTTCATGTAGGTGGGGATTGTAGGCTTCCAAGTGTAAGTGGAGACTGTGAGCTTCATCTAGGTAGGGATTGTAGAGCTTCATGTAGGTGGAGACTTTTAGCTTCATCATCCAGGTAGGGTGTGGAGGCCCATGTAGGTGGAGACTGTGAGCTTCATCTAGGTAGGGATTGTAGGCTTCTGTGTAGGTGGAGACTTTTAGCTTCATCTAGGTGGTAGGGATTGTGGAGAGCTCCATGTAGGTGGAGACTGTGAGCCTATGTAGGTGGGGACTGTGAAGGCTTGGACATTGAAGGCTGGGACTGTGAGCTTCATGTAGGTGGGGACTGTGAGCTTCCATGTAGGTGTGGAGACTGTGGAGACTTCTATGTATTTGGGGACTGTGAGCTTCCTGTAGGTGGGGACTGTGAGCTTCATGTAGGTGGGGAGTGTAGGCTTCATGTAGCTGGGGACTGTGAGCCTCTCATGTAGGTGGGGACTGAGAGAACTTCATATGTGCGTGGGGACTGTGGTGGATCCTTCATGTAGGTGGAGACCGTGAGCCCCATGTGGAGACCGTGAGCCGGCATATGTGGGGACTGTGAGCTTCCCATGTAGGTGGGGACCGTGAGCCCATGTAGGTGGGGACTGTGAGCCTCATGTATGTGTGGACTGTGAGCCCATCCAGGCGTGGACCGGTGGCCCCATGTAGGTGGAGGACCGTGAGCCCCATGTAGGCGGCGACCGTGAGCCCATGGGAGGGACCAGTGGAGCATGGCGTGGACCGTGAGCCTGGTGGGCCAGCCGGCGGAGACCACCGTGGAGCCCATGGACCGTGAGACCGTGAGCCAACAGCGTGGACCAGGAGGCCTGGGACCGTTGACCGCAGGACCATGTGCCCCAAGGACCGTGGAGACCGTGGAGCCTAGGCGTGGACCTGTGAGCCCCCGTGGACCGTGGAGGAGACCGTGAGCCCCATGCAGGTGGACCGTGAGCCGGCATGGACCGTGAGCCGACGGGAGCCGAGCCCACGGACCCGTGAGCCCATGGGACCGGCGTGGACCGTGAGCCATGGAAGACCGTGAGCGGAGACCGTGAGCCGGCGGTGGACCGTGAGCCAAGGTGGACCGGAGGACCGGTGACCGGACCGGACCGGCGGACCGGTGGGGACCGGGGACGACCGGAGACCGGAGCCGACCCCGGAGACCGACCCATGACCGGCCGACCAGGTGGACCGGTGGACCGTGAGGACGCCGACCAGGTGGACTTCAGGTCGGCGGATGACCGGAGCCGGCGACCGTGGAGCCGGACCCAGGTGGACCGGCGGAGACCGGTGAGCCGACCCAGGCCCATGGTGGAGGACCGTGGAGCCGGCGGATACGAGCCGGACCCCAAGGAACGGCATGACCGTGGAAAGACCGGAACGCGGACGGCCGGTATGGACCGTGAGCCGGCGGAGAACGGGACCGTGGAGCCAAGTGGACCGTGAGCCTGGCGGGACCGGGTGAGCCGGCGTGGACCGTGAGCCGGCGTGGAGACCGGTGAGCCGGCGCCAGACCGTGGAGCCGGGGACTGAGCCGGTGGAGACCGGGGAGACCGCGGAAGGGACCGTGGACCGTGGAGTCGGCACCAGAGTTTTAAGTGGAGAATGGAGACCGTGAGCCGACCCAGGCTTCAAGGTGGAGACGTGGAGTTTACCCAGGTGGATTGTAGGAAGGATCCCCAGCGGACCGTGAGCCCATGTGAGCGACCCCATGGAGACCGTGAGCCGACCCAGGTGGGGAAATGGCCGCATGACCGGCGGAGGACCGTGAGCCGACCCAGGCCGGCGGAGACCGGTGGACCGGAGCCCCATGGAAATCGACCAGACCCGGTGTGGACCAGACGCGGACCGAAGACCCATGACCGGAACGCATGGACCGGAAAGCCCATGGAAACGGAGGCACGGAAGATGAAGACCGTGGAACTGACCACGGACAGCCACGGAACACGGCCCCAAGATGTGGACCATGTGAGCCGAGACCGTGGACCGTGGACCGGCGACACCGGATGGCTGAGGACAGCGGTGAGACCGTGGACTTTGAGCCATGGAAGTGGACACAGGAAGAGGACCGTGGATCTGAGACCGTGCCCCACAGGGACAGTGGAACCCCAGGAAGGACACAGACTTTTGAAGATGGAGATCATGGATCCATAAAATTTTGAGACTGCAGTGGGGTGGGGACTGTGAGCTTGATGGAGGACTGTGGAGGAAAAGGGACCAGGAGCCGCATAATGGACCGTGGAGCTTGATGAAAATGGATTGAGCCATGGAATGAGCCCAGTGGTGGATATGGAGCTTGGTGGAGACTGTGAGCTTGAAAGTGGAGACTGTGGAGTTTATCTAGGGATTAAGGTGGAGACTGTGGAGTTTTATCTAGGGACAGGGTTTGTGGGATCGGGTGGAGGGGACTCACAGGTTTATGGTGGACTGGGTGGAGTTTGGTGGAAGGACAGGAAAGGGGGGACTAGGTGGAGACTGGAGCACAAAAGGTGGGGACTGTGGAGTGGAGTTTATGGAAATGGTGGGGACCAGGTTTAAGATGGAGACAAGGAGGGTTTATGGTGGAGACTGGTGGAGCCGGAGGGGTGGGATGGAGGGGGGGACAGGCCGGTGGATGGTGGAGGAAGGAATGGTGGAGGACAAACTCCATCCAGGTGGATCAGGAAATAGGTGGACCCGACCCAGGACTGTGGCGGCCCCATGCAGGTGACCGTGAGCCTGGCGGTGGAACCCGTGGAGCCGGTGGTGGAAATAACCCGGCGGAAGCACAGGACGGCGGACCGGAGACCGTGGACCGTGGAAACCGGCGGATACGAAGAAGACCGTGAACGAGGACCGCATGGAAAGCCCGGAATACGGCATGTAGACCATGGAGCCGCGGAACGACCGGGGATACGCATGGACCGGAAACATGGACCGGCCCGGCGACCGAAGATCGAAATGGACCGGTGGAAACCGGATACGGAAGATGGAGACCGACCGACGACACAGGAACGCGGATACGAAGATGACCGGTGGACCGGCGGACCGGAGCCGACAAGGAGACGTGGAGCCGTGGACCGGAGCCGGTACGGAGGAGACCGGAAGGAAAGGACCGGCGGAGACCGCATCCAGGAGACCGGAGCCGACCCAGGCCGGCGGACCAGGCCCCATGGACCGGTGGCCGGCGGAGACCGGTAGACCGGCCGGACCGTGGACCGGATCCGGCGGACCGGCGGAGACCGGAGCCGGCGGGACCGGACCATGGCCGGCGGAGACGAGCCGACACGGAGGACCGTGAGGACCGTGAGCCGCATGGCGGACCGTGAGCCGGCGGACCGACCCAGACCGGCGACCGTGAGCCCGGCGGGACCGTGAGCCGCACGACCCAGGACCAGGCCCATGGTGACCAGAGCCGGCGGAGACCGGTGGAGCCGACCCAGGCATGACGAAGCCGACCCAGCGGAGACCGTGAGCCGACTGGCCGACCCAGGCATGGAGACCGGTGAGCCGGTGGACCGGACCGGAGCCGGTGGACCGTGGAGACCGGACGGCCGGACCGTGGACCGGTAGCGGACCGGTGGACCGAGCCATGACCGGATGGCCAGTGGAGACGGCGGAGCCCATGGTGCCGACCACGAATGACCCGGCAGGTGGACCGTGAGCCTGGCGGAGGACCGGCGGACACAACCAAGTGGACCGCCATGACCGGTGGCCCCAGGCACCGGAGACCGGAGCCGGCGGACCGACCCAGGCCGGCGGCCGGAGACTGGCCGACCCAGGCCTGCGGAGACCGTGAGCCGACCCAGGCCGACCCAGGCATGACCGGAACCCCATGGAGGCCGGACCGTGAGCCGCATGGACCGTGGAGGACCGTGGAGGACCGTGGAGCCCCAGGAAATGGACCAGAGGCCCCATGGACCGTGAGCCTATGGACCGGAGCCCCAGTGGAGACTGAGCCGGTGGCCATGGAGACCGTGGAAAGCCATCCCAGGGACTTGTGGTGGAGCTTGACCCCAGGGGACGGTGGAGACTGGTGGAGCCCCAGTGGAGACTGTGGAGTTTTAAGTGGACTGCATGGTGGAGACTTAGCCATTCCAGGTGGACAGGAATGGAGATGGATGGTGGACTGTGGAGGAGACGAAGAAGGACCAGGGATTGGGTGGAGACTGGGGAGTTTGGTGGTGGATGGTGGAAATGGAGGTTTGGTGGAGACTTGTGGAAAGCCGACCAGGGATTGTAGGCCGAATGGACAGGGTGGAGGAATCAGGGAGCCATGGATCAGGAGTTTGCAGTGGTGGAGGAAATGGTGGACTTGGGAGGGACTGTGGAGTTTGTGGGACGGAGTATGGACTGTGGAGTGGAATGGAAGGAGACTGGGGAGCCAGTGGAATGGAGAATGGACAGTGGTGGAGGATGGTGGACATGGTGGGAAGTGGACAGTGGATCAGAATCTACGCAGGCCGGGGACCGTGGAGCCCATGGCGGAGACCGTGAGCCCCATGGGCGGGACCGTGGAGCCCGGTGAGGACCGACCACGGCGGAGACCGGAGCCGGCGTGGACACCCAGGACGAAGCCGACCCGGCGGTGACCGGCCCCAGGCCGACCCAGGTGACCGGAACGGTGAGCCATGGAGCCGGCGGAGACCGACCGTGAGGTGGGGACCGGCGGCTGACCGTGAGCCGGTGGACCGTGAGCCGGCGCGGAGACTGTGAGCCGGCGGACGCATGGACCGTGAGCCGGCGGAGAGCCTGGCGGGACCGGAGCCGGCGGAGACCAGCCGACCCAGGCCCCATGTAGGCTGGGGACCGGGTGAGCCTGGCGTGGAGACCGTGGAGCGGGACCGTGAGCCGGCGGACCCAGTGGACCGGCGGACCCAGGTGACTTTAGCCGGTGGAGACTGTGACGGTGACGACCCAGGCATGACTGGCCGGCGGGGACCGTAGGCGGGACCGTGGACCGGCGGACCGTGGACCGTGAGCCGGCGGACCGTGAGCCGGTGGACCTGAGCCGGCGACCGTGAGCCGGCCGGCGTGGAGACCGTGAGCCGGCGACCGGTGAGTTTGGCGGTGCCGACTTGCACGGACACCGGCGGACCGTGAGACTGTGGCCGGCGTGGACACGGAACGGGACCAGGCCCGGCGACCGCATGACCGACCCAGGACCGTGGAGCCGGTGGAGACCGGAGCCGGCGGACCGGCGGATCACGACGCAGGCCGGAATGGAGACGGTGGCCATGGCACCGACCCAGGCCGACCCAGGACCAGGCCGGCGGACCGACCCAGGACCAGGCCGGCGGTGACCGTGAACGGACCGTGAGCCGGCGGACCGTGGAGCCATGACCGGCGACCGGCGTGGCATGGACCGTGAGCCGGCGTGGACCGAGCCCCATGCATGTGGAGGACCGGTGAGCCGGCCGGCGTGGAGACCGGACCGAATGAGACGGCCGGTGAGCCGAGACCGGTGGCGGCGCGGACCGTGGAGCCTTGCATGGGACCGTGGAGCTTTAACGTGAGACCGTGAGCCGGCGGAGGACCGAGCCGCACGGGAGACCGGTGGACCGGACCAAGGTGGACCGTGAGGTGGACTGGAGACCGGAGCCGGCGGAGACTGCATGGAAACCGTGGAGGTGGGGACTGTGGAGCTGGAGATCAGAAGACCCAGGATCCAGGACCAACCAGAGCCGAAACACAGGCCGGTGAGCACGAAATGAGGAAGGAACTTGCACACTGGAATGCAGGACTTATCTGTCTTGCACCAACTGGAGGGAAAGCTGCCTGGAGGCCACAGACGTGGTGGTGCCACACACCGTGGACCCACCAGACCCAGAAGACCGGATCCAGGCCGCAGCTGACTTGCCACATGGAACCCAGGGTATCCCATATACAGCCTGATCGGAACCAGGACCCGGAGGGGAGACACGGATGTCTGAGTGGATGTGGCATTGAAGGAAATAACAGTGGACAATGGACAAAAAGCCACACCAAGGAGCCAGGAAATGGACACACAACCACATGGTGGAGACATAACACTGGAATGGACCACGACAACAGAGGAAACAAAATGACCACAGCCGACCCAGGAAGGATGGAGAGGATGGAGCTTGTGTGGAAATGAGAACTTACAGCACAGACCTTAAGTGGGGACTGTAGGTTTATGTGGACTGTGGAGTTTGTGGGACTGCAGTGTGGAGACGGGGAAATGAAGGGATTAATAGTTTGGTGGTTGGGACTGTGGAGCTTGGTGGAGACTGTGGAGCTGGTGGGGACTGTGGAACTTATGGTGGACCAGGTTTATCCCAGGTGGACATGGTGGAGGACAGCCATGTGGTGGAGACAGGATTGCAGGCCTGTGCAGGTGGAGACTTTCTAGCCCATCTATAGGTAGGGACGAAGTGGCCTATGCAGGTGGAGACTGTGAGCTTCCATCCAGGTAGGGATTGCAGGCTCTGTGTAGGTGGAGACTTTTAGCCATCTAGGTAGGGATTGTAGGCCTATGTAGGTGGAGACTGTGGAAGTGGTGGGGAGTGGAAGCCGGAAAATAATGGAAATATGGGGACGGGAGCCGGTGGAGACCGGCGGCCGGACCGTGGGGACGGGGAGCCGGTGGTGGAAGGTGGACCGGAGTTTTATGGTGGACGGAGCATGTATGGAGGGACTGTGAGCCATGTGGGGAAGCCGGTGGTGGAGACGGTGGTGGAGATTGTGGAGTTTAAGTGGACGGAAAGGAATATGGAGGATGGTGGTGGAGTTTGCAGGACGCGGCAGTGGACCGACCGGAAATGAACGCCACCGGTGGACCGGACCGGTGAGCCGGCGGGACCGGCGACCGGCGGAGCCCAGACGGAACGGACCGCATGACCGTGGAGCCGCCGGACCGGCGGGACCGTGGAGCCGGCGGAGGACTGAGCCGGCGGACTGTGGAGACCGGACCCAGCGGAGACTGTGGACCGCGGAGACCGTGAGCCGACTGGCCGTGGACTTTAGCCGACCGGTGAGTCGACCCAGGCCGACCCAGGCCGGCGGAGACCGTGAGCCGGCGGCCGGCACCGGTGCCCGTGGAGACCGGAGCCGGCCGACCGTGAGCCGGTGGACCGGCGGACCGTGGAGCCGGCGTGGACCGCATGACCGGACACACCGGACCGTGAGCCCATGGACCGTGGAATGAGCGACCGTGGAGACCGGACACCGTGAGCCCCATGGACGGGGACCGTGAGACCGCACCCAGGTGGAGACCGGCGGGACCAGGTTTGATGGAGATCGAGCCGACCCAGGCCGTGGAGACTTTAGCCATCCAGGTCGGCGACCGACCCAGGCCGACCCAGGACCGGCGGAGACCGTGAGGTGGCCGGCGGACCGTGGACCGGAGACCGGCGGACCGTGGCCGGGACCGTGAGCCGGAGACCGGTGAGCCGGTGTAAAATGAATCACGTTTTAATTCATGAAATTTCTATTTTCATGATGCGTTTCTTTGGGGAGAGTATATTTGGTGACTGTGAGCTTCATGTAGGTGGGAAATGAGAACTTCATGTATGTTTTCACGGTGAGCTTCATGTAGGTGGAGACTGTAGGCTTCATGTAGGTGGGGACTGTGAGCTTTATGTAGGTGGAGACTGTAGGCTTCATGTAGGTGGGGACTGTGAACTTTATGTAAGAGGGGACTGTGAGCTTTACGTAATTGGGGACTGTGTGCTTTTTACAGGTGGTGAATGTGTGCTTCACGTAGATGGGAACTGTGATTTTTTATGTGGATGGGGACTGTGTGCTTTCAACCATAAATATATTTGAAAACATACTTCCTAAACTGTAGTACATACAGACACCATGAGCATCACTACCAGAGTACCCACGTTCGCTTTGAACAGGACTATCCGTCTCCACCTTAGATAATGGGAAATGTCGCTACCATATATGTTTCATACCGTCAGCACAACTGTAAAGTGATACCGGAAAGCAGCTTACACATATAACCTTCTGCCCATGACAATGAAGTTCATTTCTTAACCAAAGTGTATGCTATTGTTCAGTGTTTATTAAGTGTTTTCTGTTCTCAGCTTTGGCATAAGGTATATGACCTTTGTGACCACAGTGATGGCATAACTAATGGTGTGGATTAATGCAGTATAGTTTCTGAAAGTCCCGCTTTTCTAACTAGGGTGGTCCAGCTTGGGATATAGGGTTGTCTATACTCTTGTTTTACTTCATGAGACTTAGCCCATTGAGTATGTTATGAATACACTCAATCAACCTTGAAACTTGTTTAACTATATCTCACAAAGGAAACAGTGCTATTGTACAAACGGTGTGAGTCATAATGATATCATTTGGGCAAGAGTACAAACGATGAAAAATGAATTCGGCATCGTTGTTGAAAAGAAAGACCCTCAACAAGAACGCCATACTGATGAAACTGTTGCAAACCATCAACCGATCAACAAACCCAAATATAAATGTAAATATATAGTCAACAGATATGAAGCGACTTACCGCTGAGCAGAGAAACATATATACACCTGTGCATTAATTAAGCATGCGATGAAAATACGATGCGATGCTACAGAAAACTTGGGGTATATCCATCAATCTAATCAACCTGTAGTTAAAGAAGCTTTATCCACTGACAGTTTTACAAATACCATAACCGTTTCTATTCCTTATAAAAGAATATGTTGATGAAAATGTGATGGGACAGAATTTTTACCCATAATAACTATTCCTCTCCTGCTCAAACTACACAATTAAATTATTGAATTAAGGTTTGACTAAAAATAACAATTTTGTTATATACCAAGATGACATTTTACACATTATGTAAGCTATAATTATGCATAAGCAGGAAGAACCCAAATGTGAAAGATTCAGATCTTTTTCCAACAATTCAGATTGCTAATTGACAAAAAATGAAAAAGGCCACATTAATAAGATTTTGCAATATTTTTTTTAGGATTTTGAGTTTATTGTAATGAATAAACACTTCTCCTTGCCGGATACTGATAATTACAGCTAACATATGCTTGTTTTGTTTGTAACTTTTAATGCATTTTAAAATGTTCCTTTTCTAAATCTTAGTTTACAAACTTTCATCCATTCACAATAAATAACGAATTTATAGGCCACACAACAATCAATTCTTACTTTCACTTTCAAAATAAGGTAGCTTGTTTTAGGACTGAAAATCACCTGTTTTAAATATAAGAAATTATCCTAATTAAAATGCATGGTAATTTCAATGATGTTTTCGTTTTGAAATGTTATATGCTTGCTCTATCAAATTATAAAGGTTATTTTTTGGAAAGAATTTCATTTCAGACATAATCAATTGGTAAAAATACAGGGTGGTACTTATTTTATGCACAGATGTATATATATGAACCTAATATAGGGTTCTGGATCCGAATATATTAGGTTGATATATATCGCTCTTCTTCTCTGCTCAACGATAAATCGTGTCATGTCTTTTGTGTGTTGAGACAAAAGTACAGTTCTGCACATGGTGTGTTTTGGGGAAAATCATCATGAATATTCCTGGAATAGGGGTGACATCTCCCTGTTGAAACTGTTCTAGCAGAGGAATGGTAGTTCGACAGATCGCAAAATCTGATCAATATGGAGACGAGCTCTGAGAATCTCATTAGTAACAAACAAACCTCCCCATCACAATCTCGCCTCTGTAATATAGGGTTCTTGAAATGTTATATGCTTGCTCTATCAAATTATAAAGGTTATTTTGCGGGAAAGAATTTCATTTCAGACAAAATTATTTGGTAAAATACAGGGTGGTGCATATTTTATGCACATATGTATATATATATGAACTTAATATAGGGTTCTGGATCCGAATATGTTAGGTTGATGTAATGGTAATGGTGAGAAATCTGTTCGACGACGTGCCTGCGGGTTTGTGACCCTTGTATTGGTCTTCCGGTCCTAGGCCTGTATGCTGTTGGGACAGTTTGGCGGCTTGTATGGCGATGGTGCACTTCGCAAATTCTTTCGTGCAACACGACGATTCTGTGTTGCACCGATATGCAACACCCAATTACATATATCACTCTTCTCTCCGGTGAGTGGTAAATCGCGTCATGTCTGTTGTGTGTAAAGACAAACGTACAGTTCTGCACGTGTTAAAACTCAATTCTCACATGTAGTTTCTGAAGATCTTGTATGTTTCAGTGAAAAAAAATCGGTAAATTTGAAAACAAAACAAAATGCAACACTTAATTTTCGTCAAATCATAATGCATATAGCGCCCAAGGGATGTTCTCTCTACTAACATATGGCTTTGTGAGCATACGATCGTGAATGAATACATATTTACTTTTGGTCACGTTTGTTTGGCCCGAGTGGTTTTCTTTACAGCCATGGTAAAGTTGGAAAATAATATTTATAATTTCAACATGATTGATAATATTAACATCAAAGCAGCTCTGGTAATCTTTACTCAGAATACACACACAATCTCAAGCAACACAGGAGTTTAATCAGTTATGAAGAGCATACAGTTCTCCTTCTCCTGGATCTATTTTACAGATACATCCAAGGGTGACGACGTCAACTGAAGGGGCTAAATACTGCTACTGTTCCCCTTGAAAGGGCAACGATAAGTCCTCCTCATTCAAAGGAGAATGTATCTACAAACGTTTCTAACGTAGAATATTTATGATTCTATTTTGAACCGAAATGAAAGTCCTAGCAATTGTGACTGACTTGAAAGAAGGTGTAAATCCCTGCTGGTGTGTTGTGTACCGTTTCGTTGGTCCCAGACATGGTGGCCAACATTTACTGATGGTCAATAATAGCCTGTTGTTATCATGCATTATCCTGTAATGTCGTTTTAATGGTTACATACTTACCTTATAAACAAATTTGTGATATTACTGTATT